ATATCTCGGAGGCAAAATGAGCAAGAACGCTCATTTGTACATCATTCTAGACAGAAATAAATGGCCTTTTTAGAAAGTGAACCATGGATGGGGAATTGTTGGCAGTTTTCTCAAAAAATGCTTCAATTCAAGAAGTTTTAGATTTGCGTGGTTTTTTTTGAGTTGCAAAATCCACTTGAACATGACGCTGCTTTTTTCGAAGTTTCTCAAGAACCATTCGAGCCACAGAATTCGTTTTGGCATCGTTGGATAGAGAATTGAATGGGAGGATCCGCCCTTGACTCAATATGGGTGCTAATGAACTGTTGTTTAGGACATTGATTTGTGGTGACAAAAGGGCCGGCTTGTCCATTTTTTGGGCTGACGATGGGCTTGACACAGGGCCTATCTTGTTGCAAGAAGAATGCGATGTTCTTGAAGATGACACAGTGGATACGCTATACAAGAGGTAACTGTCTTGATCTTGCGATGTTAGACCCAGATGTTTGAAGAGCTGAAACCTACATTGCAGATTTCTCTATCCTATTGGGGTATCAGCGGTAGCTCGAGCCGTTGACATGGTAGCTGACGGAACTGCCCCGAAAGTGACCCAAAGCGAAAAAGGCGCCACTTACGACCCGATGTTGAACAAGCCCGACTTGCAGAAGGTAAATCATAGTTTCCGCCCAGTACCCAGCGACTAATCAGCTGACCAAACTTTTAGATTAATTTCGAAAAAACTGGTGTGGAGCTGCACAACTTTATTAGGGGAATGGACTCGGTTCCAGGGGCCAGTTGCCAACTGCGACTGCCCAACAACGAAGAGTTTCAAGAGGCGCTGCTGTTTGGGTCCAGTTTGTGGAAAGGGGCTGTACCAATAGGAAGAGAAGTGAGTCATTTTTTCTAATCATGTTTTAGTATGGCGTCATTTGCTTTTTGCTCCTTGCAGGTTGAAATCCGGGGAACAACTGCAGGAATTATCCACGATGGTGGTTTGCTCCTATGTGGTTCTGATGGAGACTACGTGAATGTGAAGCGAGTTAAAGTGGCCGGTATTTGATTTTTCTTTTCGAATCGTTTTTGCTGACGACTCAGGAAGAAATTTAATATTGTTTTCCTTTCAGGCCGGATAAAAAATGCATCAACCCTCGACCAACAAACCAAGCAACTCCAATTGGAATACACTGCCGAAGAAAAAGAACAGCTCGAAGAAGTCCGAGACATTTGGGAGGCGATCCTCAGTATCGACATCGAAGATGATACCGACTTCTTTGCTTCTGGGGCCGGCTCTATGGATGTCGTCAGGTAATTTACAGCATTACATACACTTCATATAAAAATTATTAATAGTACAGCTACCTGTAACTGTGTGCAATGTTGCCGGTTATGCTTGACTGACAATTGGTGTGTCATTAGAAGAAGTAGTCAGTTAGTTGCAAGGGCGGATCCAGGAGGGGGGGTCATGAGGGTCATGACCCCCCCCCTTCAATTCTCTATTGAACGATGCTAAAACGAATTCTCTCTAGAATGATGTACAAATGAGCGTTCTTGCTCATTTTGCCTCTGAGAAATGAGCAAAAACGGGACGAAAAACATGAAATTTTGGCATAATCTT